CATACTCTCAGGACACACTTGTCATACTCTCAGGACACACTTGTCATTCTCTCAGGACACACTTGTCATACTCTCAGGACACACTTGTCATACTCTCAGGACACACTCGTCATACTCTCAGGACACACTCGTCATACTCTCAGGACACACTTGTCATACTCTCCTTACACTTGTCTCCCTGCATGAGAATATTTTATTATCCCCGCAGTAGGCGGCGCAGGCGCTGCGTTCCCTGGCAACTGCAACAAAAGCTCACGCGTCGGCAGGGCGCCGTGGCAGACGCCCGTCATCCGTCGTGGGGACATCAGCTTCTCTTCGATTTGTTGGTCCGGTGAGTGAAAGGTGAGAAATTTTCGGATAAGCAACTTCTTTTCGGCTCAATTCTATGGCTCAGCAACTTATTTTCGGCTCATTCAATGGCTCAGCAACTTATTTTCGGCTCCTTCTATGGCTCAGCAACTTACTTACTTCGGCCCTGAGGAGGAGTTAGGAATTAAGCCCAACACATTCGGAAGTAAGCTATATTTTGGGGTGTCGTTGTATTTATTTGTATATAAAATTGTCTTATCAAGTTGACAGTTCAGTGTCAAGCAATCAGTGATCTCAGTAATCTATTGGTATGGAATCTTGCAAAATAACTGCCCAGATATTTTCATGAATATACATAAATAATCTTGCTACTTATTAGGAATAACGAAGTAACCCCAACTACCACGATGCCTGATCTATATGATGTTCCCCGAAATTAAAGTTGAACTATTGCTACTACCTGCAGGTCCTGCATTGGTACTACCAGGCACTGTCCAATAGAATGCTGGAGATCATAAATTGAAAAGTCAATTTCCATCTATAAACAAAGGACTTTTTTCCTTCTAATAAAGTATTGTGCTTGATTATCGTTGATATTTTTGAAAAATCAAATGGCAGCGCAAATTAATTAAAATGTACCTATTGATTATTTACCGTATCGACACTTCTCCAGACCCGCCTGCTGCGGACTCGTTTTGCGTTTGAGTCCGCAGGCGAGTCTGAAGGCGGGTCCGCAGGCGAGTCTGCGGGCGGGTCCGTAGGCTAGTCTGCGGGCGGGTTCACATCGTGGTCCGCAGGCGGGTCCGGAGAAGTTTCGATTTGGTGATTATTTGGAGATGTTTTTGCTCATTCCTGGAAAGCTGAATATATATACGGAAGCTGAGGCGGCGAACTAAAACTCGACGATTAATTTCAACCGGTTTTGTAGTTATATATTTGTTGTCATTGTTATATTTTATTACTTATTGTTATAAACATCAAAAATATTCAGTTCAACTACATTTCAATTTGAGAAAATTCACGGTCCTCGCGGACCATTCCAACAGAGTTCGCATTCCAGGTTGAGATTGCACTTGGAAGTGGTTAAATTTCTGTTAGATTACCAGTAATTAAATTAAAATATTGCATTTTGATTTGAACAAACGGTGATCCACTTATTATATTCGATGTATTTATGATACAAATGCTTATATATTTCCTCTGGTTCAGGGTTAACCAGCACGCCTTTTGAACTGCTCGAGGGCAGCCCACTTCACAGAAACAGCCTATGATGCCCGCGGGTGTGGTTGCCCTCTTCGGGCTCGTGGTCCAAATGCGGTTCCCAATCTACACTCTACAGGAGGCGAGTGTTAAGACCCCCTTGGCTTGTGCGGTCCGCTGCATTCAACACGACGTCTGCGGGGGGTTCTATTGGGACTCTTCTTCGGTGAGAGAGAAACGAGATTGCGATTTTCCCGCTGTAGATTTTTCCTCCATGTTAAAGTTATTGATGAGCGTTATGTATCAGGATCGAAGTAAATACTTTTTGGACCCTTCCTTAAACAACCTGCAACCACAGACACATTCATGAATTGTGAGCATAGAGTGTATAGAATGGAATAGAATAGAAGAGTCGGCACTGAAGAAATATGCCCATGGCCTGTTGCTGATTCTTATACTGTTCGTGACTTGATTCACAAGGGATCCGCCTTTTGGAACCCGATCTTTCCATAACTAACGATTGATTGAGATAGCTGCTGGACTTATTGCCTGGTCCACAATTTAAGCATCGAGGAGGGCTCAGCTTATACGTTCAGGACTTTCATGGGCGCGGAAATTGCCACAACTGCGATCTCGAGCAGCGCGGTCGTGCAGCGTCCGTGTGAGTTTACTTAGATGATTCTCATATTTGCATGAGAAAATATTCGTTTTGTTTTGGTATTCGTTTCGTTATATAGGGTGAAGCATCGGCCTATGACAAACTGTGAGACCAATAAGTTGAGACTTCTTATCACATTCCCATTGACCGTTAACTGATAAAAAATGTTTAGTCAAAAGAGTGATGGTTGTCAGGGAACGTCGGTTCGAAATTATATTTAGGGGGTAAGCAAATCAATTCAAGTAGGCAGGTTGGATTTATAAACTACAGTTAACGTTACAGGCTTAAAGTATATAGGATACAA